GTGAAATCTCATATTTTTAATTCTCCAGATGTGTTATTGGTGGTTGTGTTCCCAAAAAGATTTTGGTGTATGGAGCAGCTTTTGGAGGTGAAGTTGAGGTGAGATGGTAATCTTTTTCAGAATTAAATCTGATAGATTTCCCGATTTTGCAATTATATATTAAGTATCCAATTCATGGTTTGTATTTTTACTTTCTAAAGTTGCAAGTACATAAACGTTTGAAATTTTAATTAGTTTATCCTAGAGTTTCTCTACTGAGCACTTGAAGACATTAATTTTATTAATTTATACAACAGTAGAAAATTAATGAGTTCTATGATTTAATTGTGTTTCTTTGATAATCAAAGCAGTAGAAGCTGAAATTATTAGGAAGTTTTACATTTTGCTTGATACATGTAGAGTTGCATTTTATATTCATGGGGCAGTTCCGCAGTTGGCTCTACGCAGTTGTCTTGCTTTCATATGAATTCAGATTTCTGTCTGTTCTAAGAAAACTGTTAAGGTTCTTCATTAAACTTTTTTTATTTCAGCTATGCTCTGTCAAATAGGAAATAATATTCAATCTCACACCACAAGTGGCCCCCCCAAAAATATGATTGTTTTGCTCAGCATTTGATTTACCCTGGCCTAGAGCTTGATCCTTTCTTTTCTCCCAGCTTTATCTTTAGAAAGGAAAGCCGTCCACAATCTCAGTTATCTTTGCCTATGTTGGAGTTTTCATTATATCTGTTTGATTTGATTGCCTCCTGGTTAAATGTAATATAAATTTCATTAGGTAATGAAATAGATTCACAATTGGACTGATACAAGATTTTTTTATTAAAAATATGTCACGGAATATAGTTAAAAATTTTGATTTTGGTTTTGTCTTCTATTGTGTTGTATACTTGTATTGTCTTTTGAGTATATTTCTTTGTTGTATTTCTTGGCTAAGCAATTGGTAGTTTCTGGATGGCTTGGTGCTTGAATGGTTCATCTAAATGTTCATTTTCGGTGTTATGTTGTTTGCTACAAAACAAACATCATTTTAAACGATGTTTGTTTTGAAAATGATGTTTGTTTTGTAGGATGCCAGAAATGATGGATAGGAGGTGAATGAGAAACTTGAATTAAACTGGAAAAAGCTTTTACAGAAAACGGTTGGTATTTTTTTTTTTTTTTTCATATGATTGACGATGTATAGTTTTTCAAAATTTCCTCTAATAAATTTTGAAAGGTGCAGAGGAATAATATTGATTGAAGCAGGTTCAGAACTTCGGATTCTCTTTTAAATGCGTAATGCAACTAATGCTGTACTGAGATAACATGGAAGGGCTTGGAAAATGTCAAAATGGTTCTTTTTAGCCTTTGGTTATGAGCCATTAAATCTTATGGGCCTTGAAGTTTGGCCATTTAGAATTTTGTGAAATTTATGGGGATCATTTTCGGGTTCATCAGCTGTGAGGTGCTTCTCGGGTTTACCATGATTCAAATCACAAGAATCTCCTGACAAATGTTAAGTTTTTGGCATGTAGATTACATTTTCTAAGTTGGGATGTGAATAATTTCCTGCAACAATTTTTAACCTTTTAAAAAAAAAAAAAAAAGAAATCTTCTACAATGAATAATTTTTTGTATCTTCAGAAATTTTAGTTAAATAGCTCTTTTGCCTTTTTCATTCTAACAGTTATCACTTGACCTTTACATCAAGATTTCTTTTTGTTGGTCATTTTTTTCTTGTTGCTTTATGATCTGACTTAACTTTCCATTTCAAATTACAGACAGATGAAATAATCAGATTGAACAGTATATACAAACGCTTATTGTCAAATGCTGGGGTTAAATTGTTTGTAGGGGAGGGAAAGATTATTGGTCCAAATGAAGTTGAGGTGACACAATTAAATGGAAACTAAATTGTTCTTTTCTGCAAAGCACATATTGATTACAACTGGCAGCAGGGCCCATTGTCCTGATATCCCTGGGAAGGTAGATATTTCTTTTACTTTCAATGTGATTGCTTGGTGTCCTAGTAAAATTGCGTTATATGTAATTTGGCTATAGTAAATTTTGATAGCATGGAAGTGCAATTTTCTTTTGAAGTGAGAGAAAAACATCTATTTAACTTTACAATAT